TTGTTAGCTTACTCAGGACCGTGCTCGACAAGCGTTCCGTGTTTTCTCCATCCTTTGATTAACTTTCGCTGCTGTTCTGTCGTTCCAAGAATCGTTTACCTTCGTAACCATAACGGAGAAAGAGCGCAGCAATAGTAAAATCTTTCAAATTACAACCTGCGCTCCTCTTTCTTTTTATCTCGCTGCGAAATGCGTTGACTCGCACTGTGGGAAACATAGTGTTTTTTTATGTTACTTTCCGTCTAAAAATCAGAATCACGGTGAACAATTTACGAATAGTATTACAGCATTGTGATAATATTTCACGTAATGTGACAACTATAAGAGTAAAGCAAATTATCTATTATATACGTAGTGAGGAACAAAAGATACATCGGATGACAATTATACCTGTATCCTGAGTAATACATTTGACAAACAACCAAGAGTGTGTGATAGGGTAGCGCAATTTTTCTTAGTCACATTCCTCACAGCACCGCAGTTAAACGAGCCTTTAATCTATCCCTGGGCCGTAAACGGGTGTGCATTTTGATGTGAGGGGCTCGGCGGTAGCCTATGGGTGTCTACTTGGATTTCGGTGTGTACACCGGTCTAGCACGAGATAATGTATAATTTATAATCAGACCGTTTCTCTGGCAACAGTGCGCCACTGCATGGACTGAATCTTCCGCCCCAAAAGCCGCCAACCCCTCATTAGCATTCGATGATGGCTGCCGCGTCCTGCAGCGTCCGTATTATCCCATTTCATCGTTCTTGCTCCCTCTACCTGGGCTTCTACTCGTTTCCACCCGCCTTCGCTTCCTCCATTTTCCCTCTATTTCCCTCTCTCCTCTCTATTTTACACCTGTTCCGTCTCCGTCTGACTCTTTGATCCTCCAACAGGCAGGCAAAGGTCGCTCAAATTTCATGGCAAAATAAACATTCTCGTAAAGAAGAAATATTTAAAGTGAAATAAATATTCTCGTAAAAAGTTAAAAGAAAGAAAGAAAAAATGCGAATATCGATGTGACTCGTTTCTTAAATATATTTCCGTCTCCATTGCTATCGGTAAGGAGCTCTGTCGAATGTAGAAGTTGGAGAAGTACCCGACGTTAGGGGTAATCTTGCAAGATGACTACGTTCAAGGACTCTGACGGGAAGCCCCCGCTTCCGGAGACCGGGTGAAGTCGGAGCCAGGTCAGAACCGTGTTGTCACTGAGATTATTGAAACTGCAGTTTTATGGGCCTTAAAAGCAGTTTAATTGCTGTTATATAAGTGTTTATGCGCCTGCCAGGTTTGGCCTCCGCCTGCGTTACCCCAAACGTTTATTTTATGGTCATACGGCGGCGCGTACCCCCTCCCGCCCCCCGTTTTGTCGCGTGCCGAACCCATCATACCAGTCAAATCTTCGGGACGGTTGGCCGATTCTAAATGTCACCGTAGATTCACACTCCTTGAGCCACCATTGAAAGAATACCTTCTGTCTCGTTTCCATGTCGATAGAGCAGCATTCGAACCGCTCTGTTCGAATAATTATTTTTAATTATTTCACTCAAGGTAAACCTTGCGAAATCGCGATAAGCGCAAGACGTCTATGCTTTTTTTTTTTTGTTTTTCGGACCTCATTAGCTTCTGATTATTATCGTTAAAATAGCCTTATTAGTCTTATCAGCCATTAGTCTTGTCTTCTTTTTTTTCTTTATGTAATTTTTTTTTATCGAGAATTTACAAAGTTTCGGGATAGCCGATGTACAACGAAAATTGATACTAGTATCTTGTTATTGTCTAGTAGCTTCTCGAAATTATGAAAAGATAAATGTTAAACGTGCCATTCGCAAACACGCGTGTTCCTATTCTTTGCCTCGAGGCACTCGAGGTCCTCTTTACTGATTTTCCTCAACAAAGTTCTCCGAGTCGGTCGCGACACATACGTTCGACGGCGATACGCTTTATTTGCACGACGATAATATGCAAACGATTGTGTCGCGTGCTCCGTTACACGTCGTGTTACTGATTTACGAAACATCCATAGTCACGGTGTTACGCGATCGAATGGAATCCTGCGGCGAGTATTCCGCCTAGGGGGGGTTACACAGTATAACTTACTTCGAAACACTCTTTTTTCCTTCTCCCTCGAATAAAGTACGAAGCTACAAAAACACACGTCGCAGTGCTTGTCCCGAAAATTCAGTTACATTGCTTTTTTTGGGAAACAAACGAATTTCTTTTCACTA